ATCTAACAAGGCTAAGACTTTGTGATTTTTTAGTCCTAAACAAACTTCTATTATAATATAAGATGAAAGATCTAAAAAAAGAATATAAACTTTTCTAGGTGTTATGCAAGATTTTAGCCGCACAATCCCTATTGTAGCTAGAGAAATTTGTTTTTTGACACCTCGTCTTCTTTGACAACCATGTTTCTCATTTTGTGATTGTATTGTTTCTTTGAGTAATGTTGAGCAATGTGCTTGGATTCTCCATAATATAAGCATAAATTTTCTTAACAACAACAAATTTTTTTCTTGCTCAACAAGAAATTTAAAACGTATTGTATCAATTTGTATAAACTTTGGCTTAGATGAATAAGCTTTTAAAAACTTAGAAGGTATTGCTATGGCTTAATTACATTTCTTCAACCAAATCTTTGTTCTTGGTGTCTTTCAGAGATTCAATTATTACATGTAATGACTTGAGCAAAAAATTGCTCAAATAAATCTGTTCTTGGCATTATTAAAAATAAAACTTTGACATTATTTTTTAATCCATATCAAAACTAATTGATAAGGACTTTGTCAAATCCATGTTGCAAGCAAGATTTTGGAATTCAACAATATATGTGATAGCTAAATGTATTCTTTATCGTAGTAATATGAGTATAATGTCTACTATCTTTTTTCAATTAAATGCAATCATAAACACTTCCAAGTATGAATTCAAATCATAGAGTAATCATAAATCTTTTTCTATCAAAAGTAAAAACCAAAAAAAGATCACTCTGAAAAAAATGCTCCAATGAACCTATCAAAGTATTGAAAATAATGTAATCAAAGATAAAGCTTTATTTGTTGTAAAAACCCTCAAAATTTTGATCTTGTTCCATCAAAATTCTTTGGCATACTTATCTTTGCCTCCTTTCTATTTATAATAATAAGACTCTTCAGATTCAATTATGAACTTGCTCTACTTGCTTCTCTTATTTGTACAACTTTTTGGTGTAGACTTTGAACTTTATTGTTAACTTCTTCTACAAGCATAAGAATAGTGTCTCTATGATTCATATTAAAAATACACAAGATTTCTATTCTTATAGTATCAATAAGCTCGTAAAGATCTGCAATAGTTACAAATCTATTTTTATTTCTATTGAAAATAATATTCATAATCTTTCCTCCGATACACAATTCAAAAAAATTCAAAAAAATTAAATTAGAAGATGGTAATTTGAAACCTCTAATATTAAATAAAAATTTCCACTAAGTGGGATAATTCACTCTCTTCAAGAAAAAAAACAATGTTAGAAAAGTAAAATATTTGTTTAAAGATGGGTAGTCTATAACCTTCAAAATACAACAATAGAAGTAGGATAATCTACTCACTTCTAAAAAAAGATAAGAATAATTAGTTAAGACTCTTATCAAATTTTCAAGGATATAAATCTCAAAGAAAAAAATCTTCAATGTATGCTAGTGTTACTAAAAAAGATTAAAAAATCACTCAAAGATAATATAGTATTAAACTAGAATGGCTATTGCCAAAGACAAGGAGATCAAAAAGTCTTAAAACAAGACTAAAGACTAGAAAGGTATTAGTAAGAATGAAGAAGTCTTCATTCTTGCTTCCATATATACTCTCTAATTAGGAGTTTGTTAGGGACATAGTCCTTAGACCTTTCTAGAGACAAGTTTCTAGAACCTTCTAGAAAGAAGTCTCTAGAAACTTCCAGAAGATTCCTTGAATATTCTCTTAGAATATTCTTCAAAGATTCTCTAAAGATTCTTTGAAGATTCCTTAAAGATTCTCTTAGAAGACTCTAGAATATTCTTAGAATATTCTAGTAGATTCTAGGAAGTTACTTGAGAAGCTTCCTAGCTCTTGGGTAGTTGCTCGAGAAGCTTCATAGTTCTTGGGAAGCTTCTTGATGCGCTTCCTTAGAACCATAGGCCAGTAGTATATATAGGAGTCGAGGCTGAAGAGTTCTTCAGTCTCGACAACGCATCTCTTGAAGCTCTAGCTCAATTCTCTTAGCGTTGCTCTTGTACTCATCTGATAATTTAATTTTTGTCATTTCTTCTTGAACTTCTTGTTTAGATTTCTTGTTTGTATTTTTTGATCTGTGACAGAGTTATGTGGCGATCTTCTATAGGACCTCTAATACATGTTGACTTTGTTAGACATATGTTTTAACTTGTAAGATAAGTTATTTATATGTCTACCACATAATTAGCTTGTTCCAAAATCTATTAATACCTATCATACATGGTTAACTTGTTCACCAAGTTTTTAATCTACCAATCAACTACAAACACGTATAAAAATAAAATTATATCTACAAAGCTTCTAAGAAGCTTTTTTAGAAGATATTATAAAATTAATATGTATTTATCTACTTATACCTAATCATATAAGTAACTATTGAAATAAATATGTATATTTGTGACACTTCATACAAAGGATTTTATACAAGTTTTATTTTTCTATTATAGTGTAGAATCATTGAAATATGTCAAGGAATTCATCTTTTGTAGCCATACAATAGATCCATGAATATTTTATGTAATTTTCTATGAATAAGATGAAATACCAAGAGTATTCCAATAATTCTATAATTAGTAAGCTTCAAATATTAGTATTAATAATAGCTAATGGTTTTATGGCTTATGGGTTTATTTACCTTAGTAGCCAATGAAGCAGCTCTGACTTCTCACAAAAAAAGGTAGTATATTTATTACTAAGCCTTATAGATTCTTCATATCTAAGCTTCTAAAATTGATATGTTCTAATCTTTTGTACCATTTAGTAGATGGATTTTCCAAGGTTTTATTTAGACTATTTATTTCATGTACTATGTGACCTATCATAGGTAGTTCATTTGATTAGCTATAAATGATGTTAATTGATAGTCGATTTGATATGGATGAGTAATTCATGGATAAATTTATTTTGAAGTTTTATTTGAGATATTTTAGCTTATAAAGACCATTTTTTTTATACCAAAGAAAATAAATTCATAAATTAAACCATTCCAAATTGTCAATTCTATTGTAAGCCCCTAGATTAATAATGTGTGTGGTTCTTGTTAAATCTTTGATTATAAATATTACAAATCTTCATTATGAGAGCTTTTTTCAGTGCCTTGTGAGATTGCCTAAGAACAATGTTTATTTCTTCCATATGCATTTGGTTACATAACTCTTATAAACTTTGGATGTTTTTTTTTCAATTTGATTTGTTAAACCGATTTCTCAAATTTATGATGCAAATGGCTTAGTATGTGGTATACTACTACTTTATTTAATTATACCTAATTTATAGTCTTAAGATCTTTGAGGATGTTATTGACATATTACATGAAGGCAAAAATATCTTATTACTCTTCTATGTGAAGATGTTCCTATTGATTCAACACAACCATGATATTAGATATTATATTTGTGTGAAATATGGTGCTCAAGAAATTCCAAACTTCTCTTAGGTTAGCAATGTCAATAATGTTGTAGCATAAATTTGATACAAAAAATAATTACAACATTGCCTTGGCTCTCCTCTTCTATCACCAAATCATGTCTATTTCAAATCTTTTATGGTTTGGTGGTTTTTTGGTCTTCTCTTACAAGTCAATAACCATTCCTGAGATTGCTTGTTTGTGATAGAGGTTCAATGAGATTCCATAAGTCCTTCTCAAAAATACTTTGAAGGATGATTGCCCATTGTTTATAATTCTTTGGCCCTACCAATATGGTCTCCTTTGAACAAATATTTTCTAGATTACTCATTGTGCCTTATAGATCTATACAATTCTTCATATTCAAAAGAATGTCAAAACAAGTCAAGAAGGAACCTAGGTTCAGTAGTTCAAAATAAAAATAAAAAATAAAAACACTCAAAAGAAACTACCATGATACAATCAAAACAAATAATATAAAAGAACACGCTCTAACTGTAGAGTCGCAGGTATAAATACATTTTGTGTTCATGCTGGAAGCCGAGTGCCCAGCCATAATTCCGGATGTCAATACTATCCTACAGTAATCATGTACATGGATGATGAGTAGGGATGAATGCTCCTACAGTAACAACTTTATTGCACAGAAAAAGAAAAGAAAAAGAAGAAGAAATGGGTCTTTTTCGAGAATTGGCGTGAACGTCTTCTGCATGTCTAGAATGGCGGCGTTGCTGTCGAAGGCGAATGTGTGCATGTGTGGCAGATGTAGTGGGATGAGACGACGAACAATGCCGATGGTGTTTCGTTGACGCATGCGCTCTCGCTGGATATCTTTCAACAAAACACTGAGACCGGAAGATGAACGCCTCGCAGGTCTTCGACTCTCCATAAACATCACAATACCTGGACGCGATCGACCAATTTCGTGCAACTTGCACAGAAGCTACAACCAGGCTTTGTTGCTTCAGAGAGAGCTGGTGAAGATTTTGTACATCCCTTCAGTTCCGGATGTTTGATGGTGCAAAATTTCTCATTAATTCTGCGCTATCAAGTTACCCAATCGACTCTTCACAGCTGCAGAACTGGCACGCCAATTCACATCCGACGATAGTGCATGTGAAGCCAGCCAATGAGCTGAAGTACTAACTTTCACGGAATCAGGAGAGATTATTGAGCTATTTTTGTTCACCGTCGGAATTCCGGAGAAGAAGCAGACGAGTTGTGAAAGTTATCTTCATGGCACGATGTCTTCGAAAGGTTGGGAATCTGAAGGATTTGAAATGGAAGATCCATCGATCACCGCCTTAACGTCCCTCCGAGCAGACTCCTCATTGCCTACGGGAACACAAAATCGGCATCGTAGAGTAAATATAGATTACATGGATAATAAGCCACGGTGGCAGTGACTCATCTTAGTCCACTACATTCGGAACGAGAGCATTCCAGGCCTTATCTAGATTTATGCCGCTTAACCCTTAAGTCAATTTTGCGGCTATGACAATGCAAAAGTTTGCCAATTACAACAACGTCATAGTCCCAAGAGTAAAAAAAGAGGCATGTGTGACGAGCCAGTCCAAAGAATGTCATACTGAAGTGTTGCAGTCGTCTTATTAGACCAAGAGATCACATAATACACAGGAGTGGACTATAGACAGAGTCTCAATGAAAAATTGCTACCGAACCTCAGTAGTAAAAAATATATCCCCAGAAGGGCTTAATCCACCTTAACTTATCTATTCTAGATGTTAATCATCCACCTTGAACTGTATCCAAACCTCTGCCGGTGGAGAAAAATCCCCTACATGAGGATTCACAGACTTCCGTCTGATCTCCAAATCATTCCACACATACAGCGGTCTCGTCTCTACTGTAAAACAGGCCCAGCTGCAAGAATCTGCTGCGTAAGCTGGCTGTTTCCACCAACTTGGTAATCAGCATAAATCTCAAAATTCTTCTGAAAAAGACCTGCGAGCTTTTTCAGAGTAGCATCGTATTGCGTCTTGTCTGACCACTGCACACAAAAAACCACACATTATCAAAGATTGAGAAGAGGAGAGCAACGACTACAACAGATAATGCTGAAACTTTACAAGCCTCTCGGAGTAAACATACAATCTAAATTACAGTGTCATCACATGCAATTAACAGTCGTCTGCTTTAAAACACGGCCCCACATCAAGATCTAGCTCTGTAAAAGTCTTAACGAAGTAAGCAGTCAGAACTCAAGCACTGACTCATTCTTTATTTTGGCATAACACTCTCCAGACTTTTGAAAACTAAACGAACAAAATGAACTTTAACGGGAAAATTAGAAATTGATAAAAGGTGTTACATACCGCATTCTGTGGCTGCAAGATTTCACTTGGAACCCCGTTGACCGCAGTTGGCACAGCCAGGTTGAAAATTGGAGTTTGCGCATAATTAGCGCCCAACAATGACCCGTCATGAATAGCATTAATGATCTTCCTCGTATATGCGAGTTTCATTCTTGATCCGACACCATAGCTGCCGCCGGACCAGCCGGTGTTGACCAACCATGCAGTAGCTCCATGTCGCTGCATCTTCTCCGCTAACATGGTGGCATACTTAGTGGGGTGCAGCATAATGAAAGCAGCTCCAAAGCATGCTGAGAATGTGGCCGTAGGCTCTTTCACGCCCTCCACAGTTCCTGCAACCTGAAAGAAAGATCACAAAATTATCAGCATAACTCCGGAGCGAATAAAACGTAACAAATTGCTTGAGTACGAAAACAATCATTGACTTATTGTTGTTGATGTTATTCTTTTATGACAATTTGGAGTAGTTATACTTTGAAAAACCGTACCAAGGCAGTGTAGCCACTGATGAAGTGATACATGGTTTGAGCATGTGTCAATTTGCTCACAGGTGGTAAGACACCAAAAGCATCACACGAAAGCAAGATGATGTTCTTTGGATGAGGTCCAACGCATGGTAACCTGACGTTGGGAATGTACTCAATAGGGTATGCGGCCCTTGTGTTCTCTGCAAGAGAAACCCGACGTTAAAAGAAAGTAACTTGCCCATTGTTGAACAACACATTCTAACTAAACCCGTGAGAAGAGAACTAAATGAACAATCCACATAAGGTTACTAAGTACCAAAAGGAATACACAGCATCCATTTACTAAACTTCAAAAGTTTACCGGTCACAGATTTATCGGTGTAATCAACCTCCCTGTAGTGCTCCTCAAAGACCACATTTTCTAGCACTGCATTAAAAAAATCATTATAAGACAAGTAATAAAGCATTACAGTGAAACAGGTGGTAAGACACCAACGGTATAGAAACATTCTTAAGAAACAAACATTACGAACAGCTCTAAAGCCATCTTCACTCAAAATATCAAACTCTAACCGGTTCCAAACTTGATTGCATTCCAGATTTCCGGCTCCTTTTCTTTAGAAAGATCGATGCATTTTGCATAGCATCCTCCCTCAATATTTGAAACTCCGTTGTCACTCCAGCAATGCTCATCATCACCAATAAGCTGCCGGTTAGGATCAGTTGACAGAGTCGTCTTCCCAGTACCTGCGACAAACATATCATACCAGCCTAGGGATTCAATATATTGCACGTGCATAAAATCTAAAAGTTGATCCAGTGTTTAACTTTTTCAATAATTATTTAATATAATAAGTACCTGATAATCCAAAAAATAATGCCACATCCCCTTCCTTTCCCATGTTGCAACCAGAATGCAACGACAAAATGCCTCTTTTGGGCATCAAGTAGTGCATAAGACTGAAAAGTCCCTTCTTCATCTCTCCGGCATATTGTGTCCCCAAAATCACCATCTCTTTGCGTTTCAGGTTCAGATCTATGCTAGTTGACGACGACATGTAGTGGGTGTAACGGTTGCAAGGAAATTGTCCGGCATTGTAAATTGTAAAATCAGGAGTTCCAAAGTCTTCGAGCTCCTCAGGTGTAGGGCGAATGCACATATTGTGCATAAAAAGCGAATGATAAGCACGGGCTGATATGATCCGGACTTTAATTCGGTTCTGAGGGTCCCAGTTCAGGAACTGGTCATTTACAAAAACCTGCAAAAAAAAAAAAGGTTATGTTAAATGAATAAACTCGACGATTATTATTCATGATTTTTAACCCTAGACGAAGAGGATATGATGTGTTGCTCCACAGAATTCCGAGCATTGCTGAAAAACAATTTAAGAGGAATATGTATTGTATCTGTAAATTTAGCACACCTTCTCCAATGAGTTCAGGTAGTCAACTGCCCTCTCACGATTGACCAAGAATGTCTCCTCGTCCATTTCGATATTTGGAGAACCCCTGGTTAATAAATAACATGTCAGCCAATAATAATAACCATAACAATAGTAGTAATTTGTATTAAAAACAAAGACTCAACATCCAACATGACATGCACATCTAAAAATTGAATGTTAATCAAGCGAGTTCGTTGAAAATAATCCTACCATCATCCAAAACAGCCGCATGAAGAAATACACATCAAAGACATAAAGAACGAATCGATTACCTTCCCCACCACAAGTCATCCTTGGATGTCTCTTCTTTCACCACACGTTTGTCCTTGGGAGATCGCCCAGTCTTAGCTCCAGAAAGTGTAGCAAGAGCTCCACTCGAGGTAATGAATGAGCCCTTCTCGAACTTAATAGCTTGCTCGTACAACTCTACAAAAGACAAGCGCCAATCCAGTTACAACTGCTTTCTGTTGACCAATTAAACATGCATCAAAATATATATATATTGAACCTAAGATCAGTGCTTGATAAAACAAAAAAGAATCAAAAGAATCAAAGGGATAATCATAATAATCAAACTCAAAAAATCGGATGATTTAAGAATACTACCAGAAGGAGACAGGTTGTAGAGGACGTGTGTGAACTTCAGAGCGCTGTCACTAATGTCCAGCCTGGGAGCAGTCACAGTCTTGGGAGGAGATTTCTTTCTGCCTGGTTCGCCCTTGATAACTTGAGGACCGCTTTGACGAGTCAGAGAAGCCAAGGATGCACTGTGTACATTCAAACAATTGACAATTAATCACCAAGGTCAAAGTCAAAGTACCTCCAGGTAAACCTAAACTTTCACCCCTAACTGATCTTGACTGATCTAACTACTACAATTTCAACGTACAAGCAAAAGTTATATCAGGATCCTAAGGAGTTTTTATTTAAAGCTTATACCTAACAGACTGCATCTGCTGCTTCTGACGTTCTTCCTCTGATAAGTAGGCACGAGGAGTCAAGTTCTTGGGTGTAGATGGGTTTGTAGCGTTGCGTGGCGTAGTCGGAGCAGACGCTTTCTTCTTCTGCAATGCGTGCAGCTGTTCAAGGTTTGACACCTTTACCGTCGACGAAGTGTCATCTTTGCACATGTCTGGCTCTCCAGGTTTAGTGTTGATTTTAGAAAGACCGTTGGGGACGTGAGAGCTCGCAAATTCGAAATCATGTGACGCGTTTCCGTTTCCGTTGGAGGCCATTTTGATTGAAAATAAGTGGACACGTTCAGCCTGTCCAAAAACCGGACAAATTCAGCTCAAAGAATTCAGCACTGAGAAAATCCATAACCGTAACCACAATGCGAAAACAAAGTGCAACAAAGGTGGAAACTCCCAAAATATGTAACAGTTCGAGGCAGAACATATCATTCCTGCATGGCACCGAAACTACAAAGAAAAGACTAGCTACTGTACAAGCGCTTCCAACCAGAAAGCCGGGCTCCTCCCTTCAATAGTAAGGGAACAAGTAAAAACAAAAACTGTGGAGTAATAATAGATAAATGTTTGTCCAACACCGAATCTGCTGACCTTTTAAAAAGAAACTCGTTTCTCACCAATCGATCACCAACAACATCAAGCTACAAAAACCATGCTAAGACGAGGCTACTTAGCATTCCACCCAACAACAGCAAACCTGGTTGCATTGTAAAGCACCCAACCACAACAGGCCAAATGTCATCGTAAGAAAAAATATAAATCCAAAAAAACAAGTCTACAGTCATATGTGCACCACTAATCTTGAACAATAATCTTGAACCACAAATCTACGCCAACTGAACATTGAGGAACAGATTAAAAGATGATGCGAGGAGAATAAAGTTCAGTCGAGTTAGAGGATTGGGAGGGTCCAACATTGCACAGTTAAAAAGAGCCTTCTCACAGGACACGTACCGTTGGAAAATGCAGCATCCGAAGCAGTAAAATGCAACAATCCACAGGAACCACCCCTGTGTAACGAAAAAGGACGAAACCGTGGAACCATACCAAATAACACTATCCGCACCACCTACAGCAAAATTAATAATTTCGGGAAGAAGAAGAGAAAAGAAAAGAAAAGAAATTAAAAATTAAAGCTGTAAAACGCGATCAATTCCCGTCATGATGATTCGTCCGATTACGCAAGCGAATCCATTCCAACCTCGAAAAAAATCCGCTCTGAACGAAATTACGTCCTCGTTTCGAACAAAAATCATGAAACAAAGCGGGTCACCAGCTCCCACACAATAACGAAAAAAGAAACGCAGAAACTGCATTCGCAATCGCGAGCGAAGAATTCACGCGAAACGCCAAAATTCCGCGCAGGAGGGATAGCATTCGACACAGGGCGCACGCACTCAACCAATCACGGCGATGAAGAGAAAGCTTGCAGAGTGGAAGCTTGCGCCCCCACTTACTTACCAGAGTCACGGAGCACCAAATCACACACCGCAAAGTTCCACCGAAGGCTCAACAAGAGGGGAGCATGGGATCCGAATCCGCAATTGCACTCGGGGGCAAACGGAATCGGGGAGAGGGATCGCCGAGGCGAAGGCCTTCGAAGGAAGCAGAGAACGCAACAAACACGAGAGATGGGAGAGGAGCCATTGCACTCCGCCTCCTTTTAACGAAGCCCAAAGGGAAAAGGAAAGGGAAAGGTCCCCCCTCACCCCGCCCCCTTCCCTTCCATTTACCGCCATTAATTCCGTGTCCACTGTAACTCTCTCCTGGTAACTCACTTTTTACCCCCTCGGGTAAACCGCGTCCTAGTGCGGAGGCCCACCCACCGTTTAAGTGGGCCCCGGCATAGGCTCAACTCCGGTCAACATCCCAACCCCCCACACCCTGTCTCCTTCCCTCCAATCCCTTCACCCGGTTCCTACCCTTTCACCGCTGGTTATATATAATATTCGAACTTGTGGCCAACTCCTTCACCGAACTGCGGTCGTTATTCTTGTTATGATAAATTGTTTCCTAATTCTCTGTTTAACCACGCAACGAGCTCAATTTCTTCATCCGAACCTGGTGTATTTGCAAATATCTCGCATGTTCTCTAGAACGGAGGTGTGGGTTTTTTATTTTATTTTGGGTTACATGACGTAGCATTTGGGTTTGTTTGGAAGTGGGTGCATTCAATTCCTTTGGAGTTCCCTCAGTCACTTTTTGTGTGGTATGTGGTAGTTTTGTTATGTGCAACTCCGAGTGTGGCAGCTCACGATGGAGCAAATCTGCAAGTTCCATTACACGGCTCCTTATCTGAGCACCCAGGATGGATGTGGTGGGTTCGTTTCATTGTTGTTGAAGTGTATGTACGTATGTATGTTCACAGTATAATTTAACATATAAAGAAGTAAATTTTATCAGTAATATTTGTTTCATTCAAAAAGAGATTGGCACTCTTTTGTCCCTTCTGCGGGAACACACCTATATATCTAAAACGTGTAAGATTTTACACCCAAAAGCAAATATTGGAAATTCTTAGTTATTGAGTTACATAAATCTATAAAAATATAAAAAACACGGATTTGGAATAAATTACACAAAAAATAAATGAACAAGTAAAAATCAGTTTCATAAATAACTATATTGACTTATCCTATAAATAACATTAGGTGAATGAAATATGAGATAATATTTCGTCAGAAAAATATACTAAGACCTACACTAATGCGTTTAAAGATGAAGGAATGACTGTTTGAAATAATAGTGTAATTTTAGTGTAGTAGAAAAGCTGTCATCAAAGCCGTCATCATGACATTCTCTTACTTTCAAATGAAGGTGAAGTTAAACCAATGAAGTAGTTACATAAAAAACTAATTAATTAAAATTTTAAAAAAGAAAGAAGGGAGAGGACTGACAGTGGTGTCTTATCCCTAAAATCCTATAATCTTATCTCAATCTAAAGATGGGTTTTAATTGCACTAAGCCTCCATTTTAACCCCACCAAAATAGGGTGTGATCCCAACTTGGAAATATAAAAGAACGAAGAATTGGAAAAAGGGGATTGGAATGAGATCGGTGGAAAGGGGTCAATTCATGAATATCAGTATATACTCCAAGCATGTAGTCATGAGCTCAACCCCGATTTCAGTTCAGTTGGTGTGAATAGGAACCATGTAACTCACAGTTGGAAAACACATATTTCTTTCACAACAACTCTGTTGCTAGTTTTGCAAGATATCAACAATGACAGGTTCAAAAACCTCATTCTAAGAACTAACTCTCCCACCGATGAGTTCAAAGTATCAAAAACATTATTACTACTATTTTATTCCCCGACATTATAATTTACTATCACAGTGCATTTTTCTTTGTAGTTTTTTGTATTTTAGTATATCTACAGATGTGTGTACATGAGCCATTGTTACCTCACAAACGGGTTCTAGAATATAATTAAGTCCTCCTCTGCTCTAATACTAATTTATTATTGAGCCATGTAATAGGAACACACACACCACCTCCAAGTTAAGCAAATTAGTACAAAGCCCCCCCCCCCCTCAACTGGCGGGAATAGAAATTACGTGGAGCGTGAGTAGGCTCTGCCACCACCTGAAAAGACACCTGGAGGATACCATTATCCCTGCTTCCTGACGACGTGGCAGGGTCTAGTGCCAGCTCAGATCCGCACACCAATCAAGACATTCTCTTTCTTTCCGACTTCGTGGGCTTGCTCTGAAGTCCCCCATCAACGCGCTCGGAGGGAGCTGACTTGTGTTGCCGACTGCCACGTCTGCTGCCACTTGGCATTAATGCTCAGTTGCACCAATCCGGGAGATCTGATTAGTTGTGCACTTCGTGTTGATGTGGATTAATATGATTAAAAATTATGGTGGTTTTGTTTTGTTTTGTTTTGTTTTTCCTTTTTTCTTGTCTTTTCTCTTGTGTGATGAGTATCAAATCCCCAAATTGCATGTAAAGTATGCACACAAAATGCACACTTTGTCTCATTAAATAATATGCCTACCACAATGCATTTTATGCCACTTTAAAATATACATCCATAAAAAATGATGTGCACTTGTATATTTTGGTGTGCATTGATAAAATTTGTGATTGTCTGTGGTGGATGGCAAGTTGTGGTGGCATTAGCAATACCCTCTATATAATCAGTTAATGCACTGTTGTTTCAAGAATGACACACAACCTTGCTTAAATTTATATGATTTATTTCTATTTTCTTTAAAAAAATATATATGCAATATAAATTTGTTCACTTATAATTCTACGATTTTAAACTATTAATTATTAAATGTTACATCAAATTGTAATTTAATTGCATCAAGGTGTATCTTAAAATCTTGACTGAAAGTAGCATGTTAATTTACTCATTTTAAATACCAATTGAAATCTTGGAATCCACTTGGATTTTTTCAACAGTAATATAAAAAATTGTAACTTCAGTGTTTAAACAATGATTAATTGACATCCTTACCCTAAATAATCTATAATCACTAATGACCAAAAGAAAATGATGTAATGAGTCATTCTTCAAATCCCACGTCAGCACGCGGGGATCGGGATGAAGCTACAGCCACAAGAATGGGGACTGACACGTCATCCCCGGGGCAGTCTACGTGGACGGGCCCTAAAAACTCCTCTCCTCCATCGCTGCTGTGTTGTCCGTGCCAGCTCCCCAATAATAACTGATCCTGCAATCTACCTTTGGTTCAAAACATTGAATGCTGCTTCAAAATTCTATCGATATTATGATTATTGCATTCCAAAGATTGACTATGGGTTATGATGTTACATTGTTGCCAAGTCTATTAATATATACTACAGAAGTTGGAAGTGATTTATGGGCCTAAAATAAGTAATTCTTAGATTTATACCAACCAAGGATGAAATGTTTGGAATAATGGTAATTAAAAATTACAAAAATTTCAAACATTACAAACATAATAAGGGTAATGCCTTCACTTGATGTCTCAAGCTTGGAAAAAATGGGTACATACAAAACCTTGTGTCTAATTGTCTAATTGTCTATGGATGATAACCAAGGGTAACATTCATCTTCATAACACAATTTTAATACTCATTTTGCCGAAGTTGTGGGTATGAATAAACAATATGATGGATAAAACTTCAAATCAATCTCCTTTCATATACAATGTTACCATGTTTCTTTTACACTTATTTATTAATTCCATGTAATCAACACTCTCTAATGAAATTTTAGTTTTGAAGTTTTCAAAAATTCAAGTAGTATTACCACAACATTTGCAAGACAACCTTTTGTGGTTCCATGACTAATTCATTAGGACACCCCCTGTCTCAAAATGTGTGCATCAATGACTTTACTATTTACTCATTTTTGATAAAAACAAACATTCAGTCAGATGTAAGAGAAACTTTGTTTATGTGAACGTCATTCTTTTTTACATTAGTTTTGTCTGGATGCTCAAAGTGTTGAGTAAGTGTGATATTTCCTCATAAATATTTTCATTTATATATATATATATATATATATATAATGTCATAGAGGGAGTAAAAATAATTTATATGTTTAAAAATAATAAAAATGTTTATTAAAATGCAACTGTTGTTTGCATGATTAGTGTTCAATATTGAGTATCAAGACAAGCAACATTGAAAGAATCATTCTCCCAGAGAACAAACCATTAGAATTTGTTCAGTCCATCTCCCAAGTAACTTTTATTTGAAACTTCACACACCTTCAGTCATTTGATGCCCCTTTCATTGTGTTTAACCACAACATCCTCAGATAAAATAATATAATTCATTTCGAAACCAATTATTAAAAGAAAAATGTATATATTTAATCCCCTGTTCATTGCAACACAATAATGCATCTAAGTTCATTTTTAAAGAACGAAAAAACCCTGTTTTTTAGGGATAAGGTATATCAAAGATTGACCTTGTAAATGGTCCTCCACATACTATGTTGGCATACCAACCAAACTTTTTAAAATGGTTGCAACTTCCCAGTCAAAGTGGACCCTAAAAGCCTTCCATCCATTTGCTTGACTTGCACTTAATTAAAAACTTAAGCATTGAATATCTCTGAAAAGTAAGAAAGGTTTAGGCTTCCTTTTTTTGTGGTCATTTAGAACATTTTGCATGCAAGCTTATGAATCGTACCTCCCCCAGCTTTTTAAGTAATAAAATAATACTTTTTAAAATTAGCATTGTTTTTACTCAAAGAGTGAATGTTGTACATGAACTACTTTCACTCGCTCAGAGGACGAGCGGGATAAGGTACCGTATGTGAGTGGTCGTATGCACCGTACATACGAGACTAGGTCCCTGTAGAGACGGTGCGGGATACGAGAACGGATGTGTGCTATTGAGAGGATGAACTCTGTGAGCTTTTATTAGTCAAGTTACGGCGGTCAAGTTCTTTGAACAAGGGCGGCAATTGGTCTGCCACGCTGGCGCTGCCGTGTCGCCTTCCGTGGTGCTTAGGCTAATGACGTGGATATGGGTGACACCAAAGCGATCATGCACGCAGGCTTCGCGGGTTGCTACTCTGGCAGAGGCACCCTCTTTGTCTTTTTTAAGGGGGGCCCTAGCTCACTTGGGAAGCGACCCTGTAGAATTTTTTTTATACACGATTATCATTTAGTGTAGTTGATAAAACATTCCAAAAATAA